TGCTGACACGCTGTTCTCTGCTCCTCGCCAGCCATGCATGCATAGCTAGAATGTGGACCCTAGACTTCTCTAGATTTCTTCAAGGACTGTTTGGCTAGGGCCCTAATCTCTAAGCCCCAGCTGCCCTCTTACTGTACTTGTGAAGACAGTCCCTCCAGCTCTCACACTGCAATCCTGAACTTATTGCAAAGAGCCAGGCTTCTTTCCCGTGTATTCTGGGACTGGGGCAAAGAATCTGACTTATATTCTCAAATATTTTAGTGGAGGGTTTGTCACCAAGGCTGGAACATATGTTTTTGGTGCTCACCAGCCCCCATCTGTGCTTCTGGAGGGGTAGGAACCAAGTGCTGGAGAAGATTCCTTATCCCTAGTGGCTTCCCTTTCCGAAACTGAAGTTATAAGCCTAGAATTGAAATAAACCCACAGCCCTTCGGTATAGATCCAACATTTTTTTTCTTCCCCTTACAGGAATTTTCAGGAAAATAGCATAATTTACCTCTCTCATTCTCACATTTAAAACTCAGAATAATTTATTCATGAGGGGAAAAGACTCAGAGATACAACCAGGCTATGCTCTCCTGCTTTACTTACAGTTTTCTATGTGCCATTTTTTAAAATGAGAAAAAGCTATTTTAAATTTTTTTAAAAATCACAGACCACTTTTCACATTTAGGTGCTTGTATGTTTTCTAAACCTTTCCCACATCAAATTTACGTATACCCTTGAAATCCCTCCCTCACTAGATAACAGGGCTGGAAAACCATACAAAACAAACTAGTTACTAGTTCCCCACAACTTGATTCATTAGACTTTTATTTTACTGAGCACTATCCCAGGCCATAGGGATGTTGAAAAACAAAACTGAATAAAACATGGTCCTTCCCTACTCTAGTAGCTCAGATGAACGGGAAGGACAGATTGTATTTACAATATAGTGGAGGCATCTCTCACGGAGCATGGACACGGAGCGATGAGAACAGAAGGATGGAAGGAGCAGCTCTGTGAGAGTCGGAAAGGATTCGTGGAAGTCTGAGATGAGCTGGGTCTTGGAGTAGTGATTTTACAGGTGGGGTGTGGAGAACAGGCATCACAGGCCGAGGGAGTGTGTGTGCAAAGATGTGGTTGTGCGGAGGCTTGTCGTGAGCAAAAGATGGGTGTATGACGAGGGTGGAGTGGAAGGTGTGTACTGGGGAGTGGCCCACGATGACGCTGAATGGGGTTGAATTCAATGGGTAGGTTAAGGCTGCACTGGGAAAGAAACTTTATGCCATTCTAAGGAATTTGTATTTTATCCTTTGAGCAATGAGCAACCATCACAGGATTTAGACCAGAGGAGTAGAATGATAGCATGATTTATTGGTCTCTCTCTCTCTCTCTCTCTCTCTCTCTCTCTCTCTGTGTGTGTGTGTGTGTGTGTGTGTTTTCTTTCTTTCCTTATTGCTCAAGTGTTAATGCTTAGGATAGATTGGATTCAGGAGGAGATCAGAACACAGGTGATTTGGGCCTAAGCCCAGGCTGTGGCAATGGTAACGCCAAAAGCTAATTAGAACGCAGAAATCATAGGATCTAATGACCAAGCAAATTTTTGGAGAGGGGACAAGGAAAAATGCAGAGTTCCATGACTTATATTTTTTTAACTCACATATTTGGATACATGATGGCACTTATTAGCTGAAAAAGAGAGAGAATATAGGAAAAGGAGTATCAGGTTTGAGAGTCGAAAACAAATTGGTTTGAGCCAAAGAGGTTTTGGGTTCTTGGGAAACATTTAGGTAAAGATATCCAGAAGACAGTTACAAATAAAGTCTGAGGTATGGTATATAGGTGCTAAGTAAAGCTTCGGGAGACACACATTGGTCCAGCAGAGCTTATATATCAAGAAGAAATCTGTCTGATGAAAGGTGATGTCAACATTTTAAAAATGGCTTAAAAGGACTACAAAGGAGAAGATGAAGAAGAAACTGGACAGAGGAGAAGGAGGTCGCCAGCAGCTGATGCTGAGAGGAAAAGGAGTGTTAGGGGTGAAGAGAGAGGCCACTTCTCGATCTCACATCATTAGTTATTTTACTGAGAGTAAGTGGGATGAAAGCCAAACAATTGGATTGAGGCATAAAAAGGAGGTATGGAGACAGCCATATTATACAAGAGAGCAGCACTTTCTAGAAGTGGAGGTGAACTGGAAGGAGGATGGTGTTGTAAGGACAGAGTTTAGCATGTCATTTGCCTCCTGAATAACAACAATAAGAAACAGCTAGTAAAATACTAGAAAGTTAGGAAATTGTTTTGGATTTACTGGAAAACCTAAACTAAAAAATGAAAGTGTAACATCACTTGTTTTAGGACACCAATCTCAAATTAGTCCAAATAAATTTAACAAAGTTTTGCTATTCACTTTGAAGGAGGCGGTGCTCACGGTCAAGGGCTGGTGTTCTGTCTCCCTCTTCTGTGATCCCTAATTAATCACCTTGTGTTGGGTTGCTGAGGGTCCAGCTCCTTTACCTGTGTTCCTGTATCCCTGATCCAGGGGCCAGTCCAAGACTTTCCTGGAGCTCTTCCCAACTTTTATAGCACTTTCTTGTGGATGTTTTGATCAGTGGTGTCTTTCTTTGAGCTGATTCCAGCTTTCTGGCTTTTAGTCCTCACCAAGAGTTTTTCTGGTCTACCAAAGGTTTTCTTCTTGTTTTCCAGTGGGATTAAAGGTTTATTCATGTTTTAATTTTTTTCTGTTATTTCTAGGGATTTGGATGGGAAGACATCACATGAGCTCAGTTTGCCATCTTGCAATAGAATGCTTCCACACTGTCTTTAATTCTGCAAATGCACCTCTCCAATTCCATTCCAAGCTCAACCCAAAGGAAAATTCTCATACTTTATTATAGAAATGTTGCAAAAGCAATACATGTCCTTGTAGCAAAACCAAGCAGTGCAGAGTTATAGAAAGTAAGGAGTAAAATACACTCCTTTCTCCACTAGACAACTTTGAGAACATTAAAATGAGTATATGTGGAAATATCTATATTTTATATAGATGGAATTATACTATTTGTAAGAGGACTCCTTCAAGATAGATAGATAGATAGATAGATAGATAGATAATCAATCAATCTGCTACAGAAACTGAAATCCCCTTTCTAACATTGCCCTAAAATAGTTTTATTTTCACCTGGGAACAAATGAGGCTCACGGATGATTATTATCTGCTGTTCCTAAAGTCTGTGACCCTTCTAAAAAAACAGGCTTTGTAGATTTGCACTGAGTGGGGAGAACATGTGACATCAGCAAAGTCCCCATGTAAAGCCTCTTTATTTAAAAAGCCTACCTGGCTTGTTAGCTCAGTTGGTTAGAGCATGGTGCTGATAACACAAAGGTCCAGGGTTCAATCCCTGGGCCAACCAGCTAAAAAAAAAAAAAAAAAAAAAGCTGCCTACTTAAAAAGCCTGATGCGCGCGCGCGCGCGCACACACACTCACACTCGCACACCACCAAGATGATTACGATTTATTTTGCAATCATTCTTTGCATCAACTCTCATTTTGAATCTTCTCCCATTAGGTTGTAAGCTCCATGACTCCAGGAGACCAGGGAACCAGGGTGTCTATTTTTGTTCAGAAGGTTCTCTATGAACAGTTCTTAAAGGAATGACTACCTGAATAAACCTTACTGATCTGAAGTGGATAGGATCAGTCTTTTCCCTTTCTTATTTGTTTGAAATATGTTATGTTCAATATTTGTTGATTGTCAGACTTTGGGACAAGGTTATACTGGTCTGTCTTTATTCTGGCTTGATTTCCAAGTTGTGATTAACTTGTTACCTACTCATTTTTTGAGTTCACAATTACACATAACATTTAAGGACTTTTAATTTACTAAAAACACAAACACAAGGAATTTCTTTCATTGCCACTTACTTTGGAATATTATAAATAGAAGCAAAATGTTTCATAAAGATATGATATGATATCATATCTATTACAGTTTTCTATCTTTGGTGCTGAGGCACAGACCATTTTTTTTATCCCGTAATTTAGAACTAAGATTTGATTCAGAAAAGAGATTTTCTTGTGCTAATTTATACACTGTCCCTGTCAGATCCAATCTTTCATTTTATTAAATGAGTATGGGAAAAAAAAAACAACATAGAATGATAAAATTGGTCTCTAAAAGTAGAATAACTGTTGACCACAAGTAAGCAATTACGTGTTAGGGTATAGTAGGGTATTAAAAAAAATTATAAAAACATAGCTTCTTAAAGTAACAGAATACATACTGGTATAAATGAAAAATTTGCTGTTGTAGCTCATAAGATTTTTTTTTAAAGGAGGGATGTTATTGTGGCTAAACTTTTACACATAATAATTATTATTAATAAAGTTCTTATTTAAAATAATTTGGGATTTACAGAAAAGTTGCAAATATAATACAGAGAATTCCCATATGACCCTGACACAGTTTCCCCTAATGCTAGCATCTTACATTATCATGGTATATTTGTCAAAACTAAGGCACCAACATTGGTACATTGCTGTTAATTAAACTACAGATATATTTCCATCAATGACAATATAAGTATTTTTTAAATAGTCAGCACAAAATGATGATCTATTTTACAGTGGTACTTTGTGAACCATCAAAATTATATTCTTGAGAAACATCTTATTTATCAATATTATATCACCCTTATAAAGATTTTTCTACACTAAATGATGTATGTGAAACATGATAAGTGACAATGATAATACAGCAGTCAAGTAGCTCAAGAATTGTGAGGCATTCAATTAAATAACAGTATTTCTGCAATGTAAATAAAATTCACATTCAAACAAAATGTTGTTTCTGTGGTAAAAAAAAAAAAATGTCATTCTCTCTAGCAATACAGATATGACAGGCTTACCAGGATGAATTATTTCAAGATTTATTTACTAATTTCAAATGTGAAAGGGTCCAGATTACAAACTTATTTGGGGGATAATTGTGCCTTTCCATCTTACAGTGCGTTTTTCATGCTGTCAAATGGTCTTGTTTGATGAGAGAGACGAAGGGTTAGGGGGAGCAGAATCTTCCATAAAAAAGAATGCTGTTGGTTTTGTTGTGCCTGATGAGGAAGAGGAATGGGTGATCTGCATTGAACTCAATGGAGCGGAGTCTAATTCGAAAATCCACCTCAACCCCGGTGCTAGCTGTGGCCTCTGTGCCTTCTTCATTTATTTCCACAAAAGCCTTGTGGAAAACATTGGACAGATATAGGTTTCTCTCCGAAGACATTCCGGATAAATCAGCTCTGCTCTGGCTAAAAGCATCGCTCATCCCCATTCTGATCAGGGTTGACTTGAGATCATAACTCTCATCCAGCTTGAACTTGGGGAGATGCAGCTGCACATTGCACAACTCCATCATGTCTGCACTGGTCCACTCACTCAGGTTCTCATAGGTGATGGCCTTTTCCAGCTGCAGGTTTGGGACCAAGGAAGAAAGAGTAATTGCAGAGTGGCGTGAGATATAGTGGTTGAGTGAGACCCCTAAGAATTACATAGATGAATTATGATCACTCCCATTACCTAGGGCAACAAAACACCACATGTGAAATCCTTTGGTTGTGTACTGAGATCCTTCACACTGTTGACCTTTAGAATCTCTGTTTTGCAGATTAATAGCTCTCAGGATATAGAAGAATTAGATTTTGATTCAAGATGGAAGTACTTTTGTGACATTATGGAAGACATCAACTATACATTCAAATTTTTTAATATAAATATACATTTAGAAGTCCACAGAAAAGCATATACTCTAGTGCAAGTTGTATGCCAGGGACCAAAAAATTAGTCTTATCAACACAGGGAACAGTTCTTTGAAAATAAAGTCCAGGATAAATTAAAATGTCTATACAATCACAATATAAAATTAATAACTATAGACTATGGCAAAAAAAGGAAAGAAAAGAAACTTCTTCATCTTAAGTATAATGATTTTTCATAGTGAATTTGAGGGTGTTCTTTCTCCTCTTTATATTTAAAAAGTTTTAAATAATAAATATGTATGTATATATGTATATGTATATAAGTTTAATTTTTTTAATGACACATTTGTTTCAAAGCACATGCTTTTGCTACTTCAAGAGTTTTCTAGATCCAAGAATTGTCTGTCGATGGCATACTTGTAAATGATATGTATTAATAATGTGACAATATATTCAGCACAGGAACCTGGACTCCTTGGAAGAAGGCCTTATCTTAGAAGGGCATACCTCTGATGATTATTCGTTCACACTGGCCTTATTTTTACCATATTCTTCGGTTTCACAAATTTTGTGATACAATTTGGAAATCTTTTCTACATACCAGTAGGACTATGGAAATTTACAGGTATTAAGAGTCTGACATATAAAAAATTAAGCATTGTGCAAAGAAAGACAGGCCACCTATTGCACGAAAAGCTAATGTTTAGTTTAGGCAAATTGCTCAGAAACATGGTCTCACCAAAGTTATGTCAGACTTAATATACATCTGACTGATAAATGGCTTAAATACTTGAAGATGGTACTGATACAAACTTTTTCTCCTGAAAGTCATTTACTTGATTAAAATGTTTTTTAAAGGTTTTGGAAGAGAGCTTAGTGTGTGTTTGTGTGTGTGTGCATGTGTGTGTGTATTAATGCAAGTGACTTAAAAATTAATTTTAAATTACCTAGGTCCTATCAGAAGACTTAGACTGACTTAAAGATTGTTATGATCAATTCACACAGCTTTGTGACTGACAGAGTATCCATACCTATTGTAGATGTGGCTGTTTGTGTGACCACTCCAGGCTACTTATGTCTATAGATTACTTACCTTTTCTGAGGAATAGTAATATCAACTTTACAGGGTTTGGTAAAGTTTAATTGGCAGAGCTCAAGGTATATTGGTTACCTTCCTGTATAGGAATTAAAGAACAGGAAAACCATGTCCTCATGTTTTCCTGCTAAAACATAAAGGCTAAACATGGGACCATTTTCATATCAGACTGACATATTTACCTGTTCCAGTCCACCAATGTCTTCTGGCAGTAGTATAAGCAGGCTGAGGTCACCGCTCTCATAGCAGAGTTCAAGGCCCATGGCTTGAGGCTTTTCTATATGAAAAACTTTAAGTTTTTCTTTCATAGACATCATTTGCACGGGTTTGCTTGTAGTCTATAAAAAGTACAAAGTTATTGAAGAGGTGTTCCACCAAATCCTTATTTCTTTATCATCATTGATTCCCAGTTGCCTGGGACATTGGTGATTCTCTGCTAAATGCTAAATAAAGTTATCCTAACCTTGCTTTCTGGAAACATGTATTCTATTGAACAATATGAACGATAGGGGATATGAAAGTTTCTGTTTCTAACACTATTGTGGCAACCTCTATAAATCATAGCAAAGTGGATTGTACCAAACAGTGAAAAGAACATACAGTATAGTCTTATGCAAACTATGTAAATACCAATAATGCAGAAATTAAGTAAGGTTATTTCACATGCAAACATTTGAGAAACTATTTTAGTATTATAAAAACTACAATTTGTTAAGAGAATTAAAACACAAGTAATAGAGTAGGAAATATTTGAAAAACACATATCTGATAAAGGAATGGTATTCAAAATACACGAAGAATTCTTAAAACTCGGCAGCAATAAGACAAGCAATTCAATTTTTAAAATGCCAAAATCTCTGAACAGACTCCTCATCAAAAAAGACATACAGCATATGAAATATGCTCAATCATTTGTTGTGAGGGGATTGCAAATTAAACACACTTATGAGAGTGGCTAAAATTCAAAACACTGAGAACATCAAATGCTGACAAGGATGTGGAGCAACAGAAACTGACATTTATTGCCAGTGGGAATGCAAATTGGTGCAGCCACTTTTGAAGACAGTTTGGCAGTTTCATTTCAAGCTAAATATAGTCTTATCGTACAATCCAGCAATTGTGCCCTAGGTATTTATTTACCCAAATGTGTCAAAACTTGTGTTCACACAAGAACTTGTACACAGTGTTCATAGAAGCTTTATTCATGATTGCCCAAAACTGAAAGGAACCAAAAAATGCTTCAGTAGGTGGATGGACAAACAAATTGTGGTGCATCCATGCCATGAAATATTATTTGGCGATAAAACACAAAGATCTACCAAGCCATGAAAGAAGGAACGTTAAGTGTACACTGCTAAGTGAAAGAAGCCAGTCCAAAAGGCTACATACTGTATGATTCCAAGTATATGATATTCTAGAAAAGCCACAACTGTGGAGACGATAAAAAGATCAGTGGTTGCTAGGGATTTAGAGTGAGGTATGAATAGGTGGAGCACAGTGCATTTCTAGGGCAGTGAAACCATTATGAATGATACTGCAATGGTGAATACATGGCATTATGTATTTGTCAAAACCCATAGAACTCTTAAACACAAAAAGTGAACCTGAACATAATAAACTGTGGATTTTAGTTAATAATAATGTATCAGTATTAGCTCATCAGTGATAATAAATGAACCACGCTAACACAAGATGTTAGTAACAGGGGAAACTGTGTATGTGTTGAATTGGAGACATATGGGGACTCTGCACTTTCTGCATGATTTTTCTGTAAACTTAAAAATTCTCTTTTAAAAAAAAGTCTTTTTATGGCTGAGCGAGGCGCGGGAGCAACACCGAGGGTTGCGGTCCCGTTGCTGGTCCCCGGTCCGGTGCGGGGGCAACACTGAGGGTTGCGATCCGTTGCCGGACACGGAAAAAAGACAAAAAAAAAAAAAAAAAAGTCTTTTTAAATTAAGCCAATTGCCAAACAAAAACAAAACGAATGTCCTGCAATTCAGATGTTGTGGACTTATTTATCCATTCTATGTGGGGTTGAGCGTCAATCTCAAAGCCCCACTCCTATGCTAAGATTGTGGCCTTATGACCAGGGCTGTTGATTTGGAGTACTCCAGGATTATTTCCGGGGTGAGCACATAAACAGCACCAACCAGAGTCTTCCTGGGGATCATTCTGTTAGAGCTAACAGCAAAGACTTTCTCCGTATACCATGGTTGTAAGCTAGAAGACTGAATATGGGGTGATCACATTTCTGATCATGTGGATAAGTTCCATCTTCAGTATTAGAAGATGAAGTAAACAATCAGAGAAGGGAGGGAGGGAGGGAGGGGAGAGAGAGAGAGAGAGAGAGAGAGAGAGAGAGATGGTGTTTTGAGACTCTAGAGATCCCACTCCTAGACTTTCCAGTTCCTTTTAGTTACATAAGCTAATGTTAATATGAGGGTACTTCAAAAAGCTCATGGAAAGATTCATATTATCTTTTAATTGTATTTTTCCATAAACTTTTTGAAGCACCCTCATATAATTCACATTTTGCTGGAGCTAGTTTGGAATCTTTTTCTGTCACTTGCAACTGAAAATTCCTGGTGAATGTAGTAACCCTGGTAACTGTCCAGCTCATGTCTCATTTGCCTGTTGGATTACATGTTCAATTCCTTCCCCATTCTCACCCCACTGACTGAGAAATGCCCATTGCATGCAACCACACAACTACAGCAACAGGTCCTCAGCAGTGCTGTTTGTGCAATATGACCCACCACTGGGCTCAACTGCTGTAACAAACCTGGCCAACCAGTTTCTTTCCTAGGAATTTGGAATGGGATTTATCATTCTGATCTCTATCTAGAATGGAGGTGTATGGGTAGTCAGGTTTTGCCATTGTGGCCATGGAAGCAGAGCAAGTTAGATTTCAGCCTGAGAGAAAAATGACGGGAGAAACAGAGTTGAAAAGATAGAGAAAATTTCCTGACACATTTGAGGGTTTTTTTCCACTTGGGTCCCAAGACTCAGCTATATCGCAGCCCTTGTAAGCTATGAGCTATATCTTTAACTGCAAATTATTGTCTTCCTTTTTGCTGTAGTGAGTTTCTGTTACTTGTTACAGGAACAAGTGTGTTGTGTCCTGATAGAGAGAGAAACCTTAATAAACTAAGTGGGTTTAAAAGCCTTTGCCCAATCCTACTTCCTGAAGTGTTTCTCTTATGTTTTCTTTTAGGAGTTTTATAGTTTCAGGATATATATTTAAGTCTTTAATCTATTTTGAGTTGATTTAGGTATATGATGAGAGGTACAAGTCTAGTTTCATTCTTCTACATATGCCTACCCAGTTTCCCATCACCAGTTATTGAAGAAGCAGTCTTTTCCCCAGTGTATGTTCATGGTGCTTATTTTAAAGATCAGTTGGTTGTAAGTATGTGGGTTGATTTCTGAGTTCTCTATTCTGTTCGATTGGTCTGTGTGTCTGTTTTTAAGTCAGAACCATACTGTTTGGGTTACTATAGCTTTGTAGTATAATTTGAAGTTAGGTAGTGTTATGCCTCCAGTTTATTTTATTTATTTATTTTGCCAGGGATTGCTTTGGCTATTCAGGGTCTTTTGTTGTTCCATATGGATGTTAGGATTGTTTTTTCTATTTCTATGAATAATGTCATTGGTATTTTGATGGGGATCTCATTTAATCTCTAGGTGGCTTTGGGTTGTATGCACATTTTCACAATGTTAATTCTTCTAATCCAAGAGCATGGAATGTCTTTCCATCTTTTTTGTGTCCTCTACCATTTCTTTCACCAGTGATTTATAGTTGTCATTGTAGGGATCTTTTACCTCCTTGGTTCACTGTATTCCTAGGTATTTTATTTTTTTGATGACTATTGTATATGAGCTAGCTTTCTCGATTTCTTTTTCGGCTAGTTTGTCGTTGTAGTATAAATGTGCTACTGATTTTTGCACGTTGATTTTGTATCCTGAAACTTTACTGAAATCATTTATCAACTCTAAGAGTTTTTCTGTAAAGTGTTTAGGCTTTGTCATGTCACCTGCAAACAGGGACACGTCACCTGCAAACAGAGACAGTTTGACTTTATCTTTTCCAATCTGAATGTCCTTTATTTCTTTCTCTTTCCGAATTGCTCTGGCTTGTGCTTCCAATTGGCTGATGACTAGACAAGGAAAATGTGGTATATTTACACAATGGAATACTACTCTGCCATAAAAAGAATGAAATATTGCCACTTGCAGCAACATGGATGAACTTAGAGAAAATCATGTTATGTGAAATAAGACAGGCACAGAAAGAAAAATATTACATGTCCTCACTTATAAGTGGAAGCTAAAATAAAAAATAAACAAATAAAAAAAGAAGGATACAACAATCACAATAATACATTGAACTTTCAAAAGAAGAGAACAGAACTAGAAGTGAGAAAGGAGGAGGGGAAGGGGGCAAAGAAGGAACTGGTAAAGGACCATGAAAACCAATTACACTGTATAAGGTTGAATATACTAATTATCCTGATTTGAACATCACATACTGCACACAGGTATTGATATTCAATGCCATACCCCACAGACATGTATAGTCAGCTATGTTCCAATAAAAAAAAATTAAAATTAAAAAAACTAAAGTGAGATTTAGCTTTTGTATTGCTTCTATTTACAGAAAAATAAGAATTTGGCAGAAGATAGTGTTTGTTTAGAAGAATATGAAGAGAACTTGCAGTGAGGAGTCTTATTATGCTCTGGTTCTGGACTGCTTCTAACTCACAAATGCCCCCAGTCACTCAGCTACACTGCACTTCCCACCACGAAAATCAATATAAAAACTACACTAATCAGCTCACATAGTTGTAGCAAGGACTGAGTGATAAAATATGTGAGTAGTCTATATTTGAAGAAAAAACAATGAAAGTGGAATTTCCAGGGGGCTTTTAGCCCAACCATGCCTCCCCTAGTAAGAGCCTTTGTTTACAGGCATATATAATCACAAAGTAGAGTGAATTTAAAATAGAATCCCATTTACAATGCCACGTGAAAATCCAAACTGGTCTTTAACAGGTTCCTACCTTGTTTATTCTGAAAGGCTTTTCTGTGGTATTTTGCACTAAGAATTGATGTTCCCAGATTCCTTTAAAGTAAAGAGCGTTCACCAGAACCATCCTGGTCATAGAATCCACAGAATCATTAGGTAGGAGATTAGGGATCTTACCTACAAGAGCAAAAAGACAAGTTTCAAATGGCTAGTAGAAATATGTAATTTTTAATTAAAGACAATCAGAATCCCATTATTCTGGAACCATAAAAAGTTTCTTTTTTTTGAAGTTCTTGTTTCAGATTTTTCAGAAAATGAACAACTTATGGATGAGTACTATTCTGTTCATATTATCTTTTAATTGTGTTTTTCCATAAACTTTTTGAAGCACCCTCATATAATTCACATTTTGCTGGAGCTAGTTTGGAATCTTTTTCTGTCACTTGCAACTGAAAATTCCTGGTGAATGTAGTAACCCTGGTAACTGTCCAGCTCATGTCTCATTTGCCTGTTGGATTACATGTTCAATTCCTTCCCCATTCTCATCCCACTGACTGAGAAATGCCCATTGCATGCAACCACACAACTATAGCAACAGGTCCTCAGCAGCGCTGTTTGTGCAATATGACCCACCACTGGGCTCAACTGCTGTAACAAACCTGGCCAACCAGTTTCTTTCCTAGGAATTTGGAATGGGATTTATCATTCTGATCTCTATCTAGAATGGAGGTGTATGGGTAGTCAGGTTTTGCCATTGTGGCCATGGAAGCAGAGCAAGTTAGATTTCAGCCTGAGAGAAAAATGACGGGAGAAACAGAGTTGAAAAGATAGAGAAAATTTCCTGACACATTTGAGGGTTTTTTTCCACTTGGGTCCCAAGACTCAGCTATATCGCAGCCCTTGTAAGCTATGAGCTATATCTTTAACTGCAAATTATTGTCTTCCTTTTTGCTGTAGTGAGTTTCTGTTACTTGTTACAGGAACAAGTGTGTTGTGTCCTGATAGAGAGAGAAACCTTAATAAACTAAGTGGGTTTAAAAGCCTTTGCCCAATCCTACTTCCTGAAGTGTTTCTCTTATGTTTTCTTTTAGGAGTTTTATAGTTTCAGGATATATATTTAAGTCTTTAATCTATTTTGAGTTGATTTAGGTATATGATGAGAGGTACAAGTCTAGTTTCATTCTTCTACATATGCCTACCCAGTTTCCCATCACCAGTTATTGAAGAAGCAGTCTTTTCCCCAGTGTATGTTCATGGTGCTTATTTTAAAGATCAGTTGGTTGTAAGTATGTGGGTTGATTTCTGAGTTCTCTATTCTGTTCGATTGGTCTGTGTGTCTGTTTTTAAGTCAGAACCATACTGTTTGGGTTACTATAGCTTTGTAGTATAATTTGAAGTCAGGTAGTGTTATGCCTCCAGTTTATTTTATTTATTTATTTTGCTAGGTATTGCAGGTAGTGTTATGCCTCCAGTTTATTTTATTTATTTATTTTGCCAGGGATTGCTTTGGCTATTCAGGGTCTTTTGTTGTTCCATATGGATGTTAGGATTGTTTTTTCTATTTCTGTGAATAATGTCATCGGTATTTTGATGGGGATATCATTTAATCTGTTCAATTGCTTATATCAGTTTGTTTCTAGTCACTGTTTAAACTGATATTTGACTGGCATCCCCGATACATTCCCTACAAACTCCCCATCAAAATACCTTGAAAAACTTATTAAAATATATCAAATCAGGAATTAGAGGTTTGTTGTAAAGGTAACATGTTTGATAACTGAGGTAGATAAAATTGAATTGAGAAAAACCTCCCAGCCAACACAGCTTTACCCTGAAAGACAGACTGCTTGAAATAAAGGGCTGATCTTTCAAACTGCCAAAATACAGACATGGAAGAAATGTAAAACGTATAAGACAAAGCCTGCAACACTGAATTTTGAAAATGATATGGATAATTTTCCAGGTAAATATTAATAGAAACTCAAGAATTTGTAGGAAACCTGAAAAAAATATCAAACATGATTGTAATTTAAAAACTGTCAAGTGACTACCTCCTGTGAAAAAAGAGTCAACCCCAGACATTTAGACAGGTGAATTATTTTAAACCTTCAAATAAATAATAAATCTATGAAATCTATTAATATAATGCATTGCTGCTATGGTCTGAATATTTATATCCCTCAAAAATTCATTGGTTGGAACCTAATATTCAATGTGATAGTTTTAAGAGGTGAGTCCTTTGTGAAATGATTAGGTTGTAATGGCATTTCCCTCATGAGTGGGATTAGTGCCCTTATAATAGGGATTGAGAGATTCTGCATGACCCTCTCACCACATGAGGACACAGCAAGAAGGCACTATCTTGGAAGTAAAGAGCAAGTCCTCACCAGACATTGAATCTGCTGGCAACTTGATTTTGGAATTCCCAGATTTAAGAACAGTGAGCAATAAATTTCTACTATGTATAAATTACCCAATCTAAGGCATTTTGTTCTAACAGCCCTAAGGGATTGCAACAATTGCTTCAATAAGTGAAAGAAAAAAAATCATATCATCTTGATGGAGACAAAATATCTTGGATCTATTTTAACATCCATTTCTAATTTTAAAATTACATTTTTGTAAACTGAAATAATAGAGTACTTCTTCAATATAAAAAAGAATATTTTTCTCCAACAAACTTCCATAATCATGCTAACAAAGAAGTATTAGTGGTGTTCATGGTCTGTTTTAAGGAAGATTACTTAACATTTTTCTCAAAATGCTGATTAATGTAATAAAGCAAGAAAACTAAGTGAGCTGTAATTATATAAAAGGAAGAGACAAAGTTATTATTCACAGATGATAGAGAAAGCAAGGAGAATCAACTTAAAAACAATTAAAACTAATCAGAAAGTTCTAGGTGTTGAGTCACACTATCACACTAAAATAAATTATTTTCTTATCATCTAACAATAAGCCATTACAAAATGGTATAGTTGCATCCTGGCCATATGCCACATTTTTACAAATGACTATAAAATATTGTTAAAAGATAATATCCTTCATCCGCCAGTGATCCAAACTAGGAAGTTAACATTGACAGAATACTATGAACAGGTGCTATTCAAATTTCACCAATTGTTCCAATACCATTGCATTTAGTTGTAATTTCTATTTAGTCCCTTTAATCTTGGATATTTCCTCATTTGTTCATTGTCTTTCATGCCCTTGACATTTTTTTTTCAATTTATCTAGTGGGGAACAAATGAGATTCTTTAAGGGTAAGTATGTACGATGAGATGATGAAAGGGGCCAAGACAAAATCAAGAGCAACATTTTTAAAGAATTTTTTACTTTTTATTTTAAAACTTATTTATTGAATCAAAATTGATTATACGTATTTTGGGGGTTCAACATTGAGATATGTTGATCAAATCAATATTACTAGCATATATATCGTTACAGATCATAATTATTCTTTATGCCCCTTGTCCAATTTCTCCTCATCCCCCTTCCGCTCCCCCTCTAATTGCACTAGATTTCTTCTCTCTTGAAAGAATAATGGTTACTCTGTTGATTTGTTGCCTAGATGATCTGTCCAATGCTGAGAGGTGTGATCAGGTCCCCCAATATTATCATAGAGCAGATGCTTCCTCCGTCATTTTGAAATGGGCTTTGTGGAGAGAGACATCCTCTTCTTTTCTTTATCTATGCTGGTGACTCTCCTTGTGTCAATGCACTCCAGTGGTTGACACTTTTGAAAAAGACTTGCCACTTGTTTTGTAGAATGTCCCTGAATTCTCTATTTGGGTTTGTCTGATGTTAACTCAAAATAATATTTAGATTATGCATTTTGTGAGAATGTTACTGTTGTGGGTTAAGTTTTGTCTTCCAGAAAGACGTGTTCAAATTCTAACTCCCAGTACCTGCTAACGTGACCTTATTTGGAAATAGAGTCTTTGCAGATGTAATTAAATTAAGACGATGTCATATTGGATTAAGGTAATCCCTAATCCAATGACTAGTGTCCTTGTAAGAAGAGGGAAATTTGAACACAGACACACCATGAGGAGAATGGCATGTGAAAACACAGAGACACAGAAGAGACACAGACATAAGAAAGAAGGTCATGTTCCAGCAGAGTCAAAGATCGGAGTGACGCATCTACAAGCCAAGGATTGACAGCAACCACTAGAAGCTGGGAGGATTCCTTCCCTAACGTCATCAGAGAGAGCATGGCCTGCTAACAGCTTTATTTTGACACCTATCCTCCAGAACTATGAGAGAAAATATTTCTGTTGTTTTAAAATGCCCAGTTTGTGGTAATTTGTGATGGCAGCCCTGGGAAACTAACACAAGCACAGAAGGGCACAGAGTGACTTGAGAAGATCACTCTGTGTCCTTCTCAATGAATCACATCAGGAGGTACATGATTTCCATATTTCCCATTACTGGTGATTTTGATCATTTGATTTCTCCAGTGTAAAATTACTCCTTTTTTTCTCCTTAATTAATAAGTGTCCTTTGTAACCATATAAATATTGTTTCTCATCAAACATTTGCCCACTAATTTTAGAAACTATTTATAATTCTTGCCTAAAACAATTATTACTATGATTACTATTACAAATGCCTGATTTTCTATTTCTATCATTTTTTCTATATTTATTAACTGGAATTTCACCATGAGGAAGAGTTTTCCCATTTTAAAAATTTATTTAGGTATTCAATTATTTATTTTTGTTAATATAGAGTCATGGGTCTTTGTTTTGCTCTGTGGGTTATGATTCATTATTATCACTATTTTGCTGTTTAAATTGCTCAGGATTTTGTCACAGGATCCTCTATTGGCTCCTGTGTTCTTCTGGCACCACCAGATGCCCTTATCATTTACTTTCTCAGTCCCAGCACTGGAATTCATATTTTGTCTGGAAGACCTGTTTTCTTTTTTTGAAGGATGGCATTTAGAAATCAAGATCTGAGTGTTAGATGCACTGATTACTACTGAGGATTCATTGCTTCTAGGTCCCCTCAACATATAGAGCTAGGAGATATATGTATTATATACATATCCCTATCTATTTCCATATCTAATTATCTTCCTCCGTGTATATATTAAAGAGTAAGAGGTCATATTGACACTTTTGATTCGTAGACAACAAGAGGTTGTTTCTAGAATGAACACAGGGTTCTTTCTAGACTTTTTCTTTTCCTTCTTTGTAAGTCCTTTGTCTATCCATAAGAAATCTGGCTTTCATTATTCCCAATATATTTACTTATTTCCTCAATCCTATAATAAAGACAAAGTAGGTTCAGATTTGCTAAAACATTTTCCTATGAAAAGCAAATTTAATAAGTAGGGTACAATATGTGCATATAGTTTTCTCAGCCTTAGAATACATTGTCAAAGTACTGTTACATATTTTGTTTTAGCCTTAGAATTTATAGTCAAGATGCTTGTTCCAAAGTTACTTAATTAGTTCTAGAACAAATCTTTGTTAAAAATTGTATATATGAAACAGTGCTGTAAACCAAGATGCCATTAAGGGACTGGAAAATTTGAAGAATCCCTAAAGACCAGCACAGGAAACTACTGCACAAAAAAAAAAAAAAAAAAAAAAAAAGCACCAAAGTCAACTTCTGGGGAGGTTGGAGTGTTGCCCAGGATGTTAGAAACTCAAAGATCATGCATTCATGAAGCTTGTTGGGGGTGAGGGACATCAGTGAGACTAATGGAACAATTCCATTTATAACAATGGCTCTTAACCTTAACTGCAATTTAGAATCACTTGAGGACTTTAAACTGCATAATCTTGGATAGTTTAATTTCTCTAAAGCCTCAGTTTCCTTATTTCTGAAAAAAGGATAATAATAGTAGATTTCCAAATTTCCTCTGAGAATATTTCTACTATTTCCTTTTGGAAATGGAACCCTCAAATTTTAGGTGAACAAGTGGCTACCTAGCTAAAAGAATTACATTTTACAGCCTTTTCTTACAGCAAGTAGGGGTGACCAATCATTCTGGGTTGCTTGGAGCTGAGAAGCCTTTTGATGCTAAAACCAGGAAAGTTCTAGGTGAATCGGGTTAAGTTGGCCACCCTAGAAGTAAGTGTGCCATATGACTAAGTTTGGGTCAGTGGGATGTGAGTGGAATTGATATGTGAACCTTCCAGGGAATCCCCTTAAAGTCAAGGCAGCATTCCCTGGACTGTCTTTTCTCCATCTTCTGCTGACAGTAAAACTGACAATTGCAGAAACAATCTTGGACCTAGAGATGGAAGCCACCCTGTATTGAGTGTGGCAACCTGGTCTCTGAATGGTTTCATGGAACACAATGTTCCATCTGTCCTAGGATACTTATCTGCCTTTGGGCTATTATGTGAGGAAAACTTTTATCTTATTTGCCACTGTATTTGGGATCTCTTTTTTACAGAAGCTTAGCCTATATTATAACACATATAGACCTTATTTTGAAAAGTAACAAAGATCATAAAGCACACTTAATGCCACATTTATGGTATTAATTAAAACCCATATATGCAGCAGTATTCCAAGTTTCCTTTCTCATTTTCTTGCTTTTTACCCCTGGACTTATCTTTGAAATTAGTGGAATGTGATAATTTTCTTGTCTGCTTAGTAAAGTGCTGGCTTGACTTCCATGTTTTAGATAAAATTTATTGGGAAAGCTGTGAATCTAAAAATTATGGGCATGAATAGAAATAAATGTTATAAATATTTAGAATGTGTCTGCACTTCTATTTAATCTTTTGATATGTGCCAAAGGATGTGATGGACAAACCTGTATGATTGAATGGTTCAGGGTGTAGCACTCTGAGCAGCACTTGAGTCTTAACAGGACAAAGTCGTCGTGGTCTGCACTGGTGGGTTTGACCATTAATGAAGGAGGGAAGTTGATACTATTTCATGTGCCATGTTCCCAAAGTCTCTGAAGTCCTGATGTGAAAACTGCCCACCTCTCTCATCCCACGGTCAGTGCTCAGTCTCTAGCCAGAGTCCTATGAACAAAACCGTGCTCTGCTACTTCAGACTTAACCCTATTTAATTACTCTGTGTATTTTGCTCTCTGTTTCTTATGAAACAAATGTTGGCCCAGGTATTGTATGGGCCATATTTTTATGTGTTTTCACGAGTCTCTCCTGGGGGTACCCCTTTATTCTGGACATAAAGATGTGATCCCTAGATCTGGTTTGAGACACATTATTAGTTTCTTCTACAACTAGACACTTACTGGTTGGTCTAAACGTTTGCTGGGAAGTACTGACCATATTAAGATTGTTCCTGGAATCCCTAGAGAAATGCACAAAGAGTGTACTGATTGGTCTCATGTAGCTCTTTCTTTCCCATTAGCTTAAAATAAGACATTAGCACTCACATTGTGAAATGGATACGTTTTCTCCACATATATCCGGTTGGCTGTTTTGAGTATGTAGGCATTGCTGGGCTTGAGGATTTCTGAGGTAAGAGTTTGGAAATCAGAATGTATTTCTTCAATCTTGCCCAAGTTGAATTCCTTTAAAAGAAAATAAAATGTTGAACAACAGCTACGTATATCTGAGCATTATAAATACAATTATTTGGTGTACTGCAAACAAAAACTGAAAATGATTCTAAGGTAGACAAAAATATTTTCTTTAATGTTATCAGTACAAAAATTTTAATGCTAATAACATAGTTTTCTTTGTACTTAGTTTTTTTTTTTTTTTTTCCTTTTTGTCTTTTTTCGTGACCGGCAACGGATCGCAACCCTCAGTGTAGCGCCCGTACCAGACCGGGACCGGCAACAGGATCGCAACCCTCGGTGTTGCGCCTGCACCTCGCTCAGCCAGTGAGCGGCCGGTCTGTACGTGGAATCCGAACCCTCGGCAGGAGTGCCGCCGCACTCCCAAGTGGCGCGCTGTAGCAGTGCGCCACCAGGCCGGCCCCTTTGTACTTAGTTTGCAAAAGTTGGCAAGAACAAGTTTTAAAGCAGAGAAGTTTGGGGAGGGATAGAAAGGGGGTGGAGATAAAGAGAAAGAATAGTATTTTTCCAAAAAGTGTAGATAATTTGTATTCTCAAAAACATTTCTATACTTTTAATATATGTTTCTAAGAAAAGTTACCCAATAAAAGTTGTTTAAATTAATCACAAAAGTACATGTGCTAAAAATGTTTTCTCCTTAATCATTAAGTGGATATTAAGACATAAAATATACCCCTTTCTTTTTCTTTTCACTTTCAGGATGAGATTTGACATCCTGGTCTCTGTTAAATTGAAGCACCTGTAAATTGAATACAAAGGCAAGTGAATGCACTCTGCAGAGAAGTAATCACATGAAATACACATCTGTAAATACACAAGTCAGTCATTCCTATAACTGCAGAACATATAATTAACTAAACAAGATGGCTTTGATTTGACTTCAATGATGTGTTCATTAAACTAATAGAATAAGCCAAGAGCTGCTTTTAAATAATTTTTTAAAGCCTAATTTAAGTTGCTAATCTCTTTATTTTAATATATTCTTATAGAAAATATAGGACAATGTCGGGAATACCCAGAGGTAAAATTCTCTTATTTTCCATATTTCACTTTTATCTGTGCCTAAAAAGAAGGCTAGATGCTCAACTGAGACCATCACACAGACGATGTAAACAAAAGCCACCACTGCCACAATTATCAGGACAATTTAGGAATTTTGGTTGTTTTTTTCTGTTAGGTGCTGTAGTTCTCATTGTCTACCACCCCCTGACGTGTATAGACATAATGTCTGTGTTCACTCCAACTTCTCATCTGAAAGTTAACAGGAGGGATATGGACATCCCTGATTCCCCTGAATTGTACCACAGCAGAAGAGAAAATAATGACTCCATACCCAACATCCTAGACCCCACTCACAATAAGGATTAAGCCATATTTTATCAAGGCGTTCACTGACCCATGATAACAGAACACAGACCACATGCCCTACAAAAATGGGTGCATAGCCGGTTCATTAAGCTCACTTGCAACTGAAGCTGTTAATATGTAAAACAAGGACAAGCAACACCCAGCAATATATTTATATGAAATGGAAACCCAAATTGTAATCCACTTAAGATTATGGCTAGCACTTTAATGGTTAAGCCTTTTTAATGAATTAATCAATCATTAACTGATTGTGAACCAGACCTTTGTCCTTGTTGTTGTTATTAAACCATACAATATCGTGTGAACTACAAGAATAAAGGTGATGTCCTAGCCACAGACTGACAGAATGTATATTTTTCCTGCATCATTCAGAATTATGGGCTGTGCCCATTTCCATGCTGGGCAAAGAGAGCACCCCCTTGAAATATAGTCGCTCAGCCTTACAATTGTTGCATGATTTAGAGCTAAATTTACACTTTACCAATTTTATTTTTATTTTAAAAACACACATTTATATATACATATAGGTGCATATATGTATACGTATTTATATATGTTATTTATATATAGGTGTATGTTTAAGCACACATATATGGCTATTTTGTTATGTATTTTGCTATCTATGGCTATATATATATATATATATATATATATTTTTTTTTTTTTACACATACAGGTCTTTGAAGATGCTTACAACAAATTAATAGTTATTTACACAATATTAGTGTTTTGCCATTTTAAGGCGCTTAGCAGGCTTTTTAGATTCATCTAGACAACCAGGGATTGAACAAAGAAACAGTGAAACAGCATGAAAAACAGAATTCTTTTATTTTTTCTTGTTTGTGTCCTCAAGAAAATCCTTCTGAGATTAAAAAGATGCTGAATAATTCTGTTACTTAAAGTTTGATCCATTACTCTTGAAATATTTTTATTATCAAAACAAAATTGTTTCTGATGTTGAACCAAAATTGATTACCTCACCATTTCTCCATTTTACTTTGCTAGAGAACATAGGTTCTTAAATCATTTTTCTATCAGCAGTTTTCAAATTAATTCCCTTTACCAGGCTTCATTTTATGGTCTAGAATTTTTTTTAAGTGTGTCTTTTGTTTTGGAGGATATTGCTGTGAAATGGGGGCTTTTAGGTTTTCAGGACAATACGGAAGTTAAAAGACACAGGAGGCATATAGCTTTAAGGCAACAGAGGATGGTTAACCTTTTCCACTCACCTGGGCCATCTGTGCTGCAGTGGGACCTTTAGTGCCCAAATACACCATGGCCAAGGAAGTTGAGATACCCCAGGGAGAAAAGAAAATATTTTTACCCTCAGCAGATTCAGCTAGCTTTTTGCTAAACTCCAGGGCAAACTGGTTGATTGATGTTGCTAGAAAGTCCATTAAGAAAATCTAAGAAAAACAAAGCAAAAGAGAGAGAACATGTTAATAATCCTTTCCATTTATTTTACTTTTATAAAAGTATCTATCCATTTATCCATGTGTGTATGTATATATATTCATAAGAGCTGAATGGACTTGAGCAAAATTCTAGTCCAGCATTATTATTTTATATATCAGAGCACTAAATTCCAGATAATTTAAGAAAATTGCCTCAAATTTTAGTGCTAATGTGCATCAGAGAACAGATGGATTCTGGTCAGTTAGTAGCTGCATTCTATAAGATAGTTTTTTCCACTCACCTGACATTTATTACACCACTAGTTTTGTTTTTATATGTTTATATCTAGTATTTCCAACTCCAGGATAAGCTCCTTGAGAGCAAAATTTTCTTTTTATACTGCTTTGTACATCTAACAGAACCTAGCTCAGGACTTTGCACAAAATGGATACTTATAAACACTTGTTTATTACTTCTTTATGATGTTTATTGTTTGGGCTCTAGCCCTCAATTTTTTTATGAATATTCATGAGGTACAAAGCTAATTGTCACCCCTCGTGCCCATAATATGAGGGTCAGATTCATACTGGGAGCATACCCATTTCCAGAAATTACTTTTGCACCCTGTGTCCCCCACCCAATTATCTCCCAACCTCCCTCCCTCTCCACCTTTCCCCCCACTCCGCTTTGTAGCCCTAGGAATGTTCCCTCCCTCTGTAAGACCAGGGCACTACTGTGGTCTTTCCTTCCTTCCTTTCTCTCTTAGCTCCCACATGTGAGTGAGCACATGCAGTATTTAT